TGTAGTCCCATAAACATCTTTCTGTGTACAGTGCTTGTAACTTTACAAGACTGGGCCGAATTGTTATTATTTTGATGGTTCCAGAACCTTTAAGTACACAACAATACTGATATGCTAGATGATCAACCTTTTCTGATCGATTCCACAACGTTTCTTTCACAATGCAATCGCATGACCAGAACTCAACTTTATCTTTAACGATGCCATAGTTGTCTCAGATACAATTGTCGATACGTCGTGCCCATATATCAAATTGAGTTGATTCTTTTTCAGGCGTTGTGCTCCAGATTTAAAGTAGGTCGTTGGAGAGTCAAGCGCATGTTTGAGGAATTACTTTTCCGGGAAGGAAAACTCGTTATGTTTCGTCCGGGTCTATAGGATGATTCCTCGCCAACGCAACATGGCGAGAGTATCGTTTGTTCACCTTCTAACTGCGTGATTACTCTCCAATCATGCAGCCATAGCCCCAGGAAATCTGATCATTTTCAACCATTTTCCATAAGCATGGTTGTAAACCGGCCTAGACGCCGGCGTCAGACCGCGTTTTCTGTTTGCAATCTTCATATTTTATTTTCCCCTGTCGTTATGTATTAAGGAAAAGGAAGATTAACAAAATATATAATTGTGATATATTTACAATTCGGCGACCAATTACCCAATGTTGTTGTATATTTTAATGATCCAATGCAAACTGTTCTCTTTTTTCTAACTAACATGGATACCATTATAGGCAACACTTTACAAAGTGCTGTAACTGACCCTTTAGCTTGTCCCTTTACATTAAGCTTTAATAGTAATTGCCAAAATACGTTAGTGCCAGACTGAGATTCGAACCTCCAACCCTTGGATTGAAAGTAAGGTGAATGAACCACTAAACCACGCCACCTCCTTCTATCATCGTTTGTTCCAAAATGGTTGGAGGACATGAGAAGACTCTTTTGAGTGGACATGCGGAAGGACGTACATGTAGGTTCAAGCTCCGACACTGCACATTCCCTTAGATAATACGTTCTATGCTGGCCTCTCCGTACCCACCCAATGGTTGCGTACTTGCCGAATCCGATAACCGATTAATATAATATTTCATGTCTGTAGACCACTTAACATAAAGACGTAAAGATTGCCTATCAGCGCTAACACCCCCCCCCCGAAAAAAAGAAGAAGTAATAATCAGAAAAGAAGGAAGTGAATAAAGAAAGAAAAAAAAGGAATACGAAGAAAAATTGAAAGATATGTTTAAACTATGGTAATATAATAAATCGAATACACACTTATGATTTATTCTAATATTTTCGTTGTTGATACGAAATCAAACTTAATGCAAATTGCTTCATCGAGTGTGTCATTTTTCTATACCTCTGAGTTCTAACTCAAATAAGAAACGGTGTCCTTTGTTCGGTACAGTTTCTTCATAACGTTTCTTAAATGGTTAATATCATGAAATCTTCATAAAATGAAGGTGATTCCGGTGACGGGGCGGAAAAGTGCGATGTCATTACCGCCATCCTCAATATTCTTAAAATGACACATCAATCTGAAAAGCTACACTTTCTTTTCCATGTAGAGATTACATTATTGGGATTTACAGCGTAATAACACAGATTACCTAGCGGTACCGCTTTAAAACTCCAAGAGCGTTCAGATATACCGTCAAAAGAAATGGTGACTCTTCTGGGATTACCTTAATACACTTAGATTACGCCCACGCTCTGATTTTATCGAATATTGTTAATAATAAATATAAAAATGACCCAAGGTAGCTTCAAGGTCTACCTAGTAATTAAGCAGTTTTCAAGACCACATTAACTGGAAATCCAACTATTAATAACCCAGTGGCTAAACCGACAGAACTATGCCGATGACACTATTATTTAGTCATTACCGTATCACTATAAAATCTTAATCCAGGGAAAGGGGTTAGTATAAAATGTACATGGGGAAAAACAAATACAATGATGTAACATTGCTTCAGATTCTGAAACAAAATCCTGGATTTAGTTTATGCTGCAATCGTAATTATAAACATTGTAAACATTCCCTTGAGTTTTACAAGCAGATCGCCTGTCTGATTTTCAAGATATTTATGATTGGAAATCGAAGTCATTTATTGGGGAAAATGAGTATGGTAAAACCGTCACACAAATATTTTTACTTTTTTGAGGCACTTCACAATCATTTCGAAGCGCAATCTTTTAGGGCTTCCATATTACACCATAATTATCACAGACACTGATAACACATAGCGCCATGCATCTCAGATTTAGCATTGTTAAACGATGCCTTTAAACGGCAACCAACGGTAAAACTGAGGAAAGTGGTTGCTGGGAAGAAACTACGTTGATGCCAGTGAAAGTATTACTAATCAGGCCGGAGGAACCAGAATAACAGATATTGCACTATATCAATGCTGCTTCGGCTTCTGGTCATATAGAGGAAATCATCTTCCATCATTCTTCTCCGTTCCCCCTAACAATGTTGCAATTCTAAACAGATGGACTGTAAGGGCATTACCCCATCCCCATTCATAATTCTGCTTGCATATTGTATAGAACTTGTCCTCCCTTCCCCCTTTCTCCCAATCCTTCCACTCAATCTCTTTCCCCCTCATCTCGTTCTTTCTGCAATTCACCCTCTCTCTCTCTCTCTCTCTCTCTCTCTGTCGTCTATGTCTCCCCTTTATTTTGTTTCTCTTTTCAGGTCTATTATGTCTTTCATGTTATTTCACTTTCTCTCATGCTTTACTTTGCTTTACATTGGTAATGAAAACATTTATATAGCTAAATTCATTTACGTTTTGAACAAAAGACATAGTGCTTTTGTTAGTTTCCACTGAGGTCCGGACATAGTAGAAGTAGAAGTTACTTGGTCTTACGATTTTAAGAGATTTCGGAACATTAAGGTTAAACCTGATACTCAATCAACAACAATACTTCGCATTAAAAATGTTGTAAACAAGATTCGATACAAGAATACAGAATAGGATTTTTTGGAAAGCGTGCTAGTCATGACTTGGAATCGTTTCAGCCAACTAGTTGTCACGAAGATACATGTTTCTCCGTTATATTGTAGATTGGGGGGGGGGGGGGGGTGAGATCAACACCGTCAAATTCATTAACCTCGATACTCTACCTGGATGGCACAGGTGACACCGTTAATGAGCTTCCAGGGAACCATCAGTGATGATTCACACCTTGACAGTAACGGCCTTGATGTGTTTACATGATCAATTGCAGGGGACTCATTAACGATTGGAGTGGCCGTGATCTCGGGTGGAAACATGGCGTCAAGGCTTGGCCAGGTTGTAATTGGACATTCGTCAAGAGTGATTTGATTTTAAAGGTTCAATGGGCATGAGGATGTGAAAAGCCCACGGCATGCACACCTTGACAACCTCGGCCTTGGTTAGACTGGAAAAATCTCTCTTTTTTAATGAAGAAGCGCAAAAACCTTGTTAAAGATGGATAATTCGTTGCACGACGATTTAGTGATTCGAATCGTAAGAGAAGGGGAATACACGTCGACTGGATAGCCAGATGTTGTTAAGCAAATATAAACGAATTAAAATCCTGTTAAGCTAGGGGCTAAAAGGTAAAAATCGCCAAGATGGAGGTCGCGTGAAAGGTCATATTGGTGAGAAAATGCACATCATGTCCAATTCGGGGCGATCTTTTTAATGTGCGTACCGTATTTGCACCCGATCAGGGTTTTCTATGATTGGACTTTCCACACGCTTGAAGGATGTCTTTCGTCATGTACACATATTGCCGTCATATTTAGTAACAAGTTGGCTATGGAAATCTTGATAGGCATAAAAGGCTAATTAGATGACCTTGATAGCAATGTCAAAGTCAATTCATCACTTGCTTCTGTACGACACAAGATGACACCGTCTCAAACAACACTTCCAACTGCTTTAAACTTGTCTCTAACCTTTTCAGTATTTTAAAACGAATATTCGATACAGAAAGTTTAACACCAATATTTGAAGAAGTCATCCGTGACTGATCAAATTATTAACCCCAATGACTTTGTAAAGACGTGGCGATTTGTTGATCCATTGATTGCTTGGTCCACGATCTTTGGCCAAGGGAAATGATCAATGACTGAATGTCTGTCTGGAAGGCGTTTATTTATAGACGTCCATTTTGTTTAGCATTTCTTTGTCTCATCTATTCCACTCACCCAGACAGGTGCCACTGTTTTGATCTCCCGTCTTCTGAATATGAATACGACCCCGTCCTGTTTTTTCTTCCGAGAAATGAATAGACACCAATCTAGACGACGAAAAGGTCGAGATTGTTTAGTCTAATGATGATGATGAAGTGATGTTGCTGGAAAATAGTCATGTGTGACGTTCCTTCTTACAGGCTTCTCTTATGTCTTGTGTGGGTAATTTGAACGCGATATTACGCTGTACTTTGGGAGTGTTTTAGTGATGTTCCCTCATATACTGTACAAAGAAGACGAATGATTTTTCCATTTTTGTTAATAAATATTGTCATAACTTGTTGGAATCGGTGAAAGATAGTAGGACTTGCGGATACATTATCTAGCAGAGTGCTTGATGGCGTATAGGACTCGTATCATGTCCGTGCATGAAAATCAATTCTTTGTAGCAAATGTAATGGTTCACCCCCAACACGCTATCCTCTCATTCGCCACCTCTGGTCTTTTTAATATTACCTATATTTCAGTGCATGGTGTGTAGGTGAGTGTAATGCTTTCTTCAGACATGTTAGATTCAAATATGTACATCATATTTAATACTCCAAAATAAGCCTGTTGTTTACCACTAATTGTGTTTGTGCAGTCACATGGCAAAAAGTCCATTACAGGTCAAAGACACAAATTTGGTATTGCTTTCATTGTATTTGGGTTTGTAGTGACAAAAGGTTTCTTTATTATTTATATTTCCTCTTCGTGCTGGTGAATCGTCAACGAAATGACATGCATGTTTGATGTAATCATTTTCATGTTGCCCTATTTTTTTCTCGTTACAGGACTACACATTAACCATGTACTTCCGGCAGCATTGGAAAGATGAACGGTTGTCGTATGACCCTTGCCTTGGCAACGTCTCCCTCAGCGGTATACTAGCGGAACGCATCTGGGTACCCGACACTTACTTCCCCAACGACAAGCGTTCTTTCGTCCATGACGTCACAGTCACGAACAAACTCCTTCGTTTCCATCATGACGGCACAATCACATACGGCATGAGGTAACGTAAATAATATCTGCGCATGGGCAGATAAAGGTCATTTGTGATAAATTGTAAAACCCACCGAGAAGAATACGTGCCCATGTTATGTAATCATTATTCATGTGTGAACCTACGGTACATTCTATGATACAAGAGGTCAAACAAAAGTTTTCATGAAGCACATACATGACTTTGGCATTGATTATTTAAAAATACACAAAGTGGGACTTCTCCATGAGTAAAAGATCTGTGGATATTTGGGGTTATTTGCATTTGACCCATGTGCTAACTACGAAATGGTACATTACGAGGAACCTTAAAAAAGGGAAAGACATCACACAAATAAAATCAAAACAAACAACATGTGTCCTTTAAAACAAGTATAATAATAATAAGAATGTGGTCTTTATATTCGTACCCAGGGTAGCCTCATCAGAATGAACATTGCTCTCTCTCTCTCTCTCTCTCCCTATTAAAGAGCCCTATCATTATTACCCCCAGTATGCCACAGTTGCCAAATACACATTAAATACTCTTGGATCGAGTGGGGTAAAACGTGGGCAAAAAACACCTTGCCCAAGGCTGTACATAAATACCGAGCCTAGATAGAACCCTTTGGAGTGTTTCACAAAGACTAAGATCGACTTTAAGTTGGACTTAACTATGGCAGGCCGTTTATGCCTCTGTTCTCACCATCTACTGGCATTGGGCTATTATATTGAGGGACGTACACATCATGGTCACAAATCTACAGAATTTACATTTGTTGATAATCCATTATTGAAGGTAAAAATATTATCTAAAGATCATAATGATGTGAGCCACCAGTGGCCTGCCATAGTTAAGTCCAACTTAAAGCCAATCTGTTACTTTGTGAAACACCCAGAGAGTCAAGAGATTTATATTTTGGAGCTCCCACGAATATGTGATTATAAAACATTGTATTCCGGTAAGAAATCCAAAAGCAGATGAAGAACTGACTTCCCTGACATGTTGTCTTTATAAAAAAAAGATCTTGATGTCCTTACCTATGAAAGTCATTAGGTCATTCGCTCATTACTTGATACTTATCATTACAACCTTCGTGCGTGTGTTCCGCTCCTTGAAGAACGCGCTACGATTCACATTTCCTATCAATCATAGCTTCCGACCATGAACAGCGTGAATGCATAGATACTGGTTGTACAGCTATTCCCGCATAACTCGATTAAGAAATGTTTCGTAAGTTCATGGACGGGGCATAGGTGTATCAAAATATTACTTGGTTAATGGATCCATAATTATGAAAACAGTCGTGTGATGCTGAGTATTGGAGGCTTCAAATGGCTCCCATTAATGCTATGACACTTGTATCTTGAATGAGAAAGTTGACATTGGAATTGGGGACACTGCTCCCACCCGATCGCTATAACATAGGTATATTAATGCTACATCCATGCATGACACACTAGTTAAAGTTAAACATGTTCTCGATTCTATCCATTCTCAGTGAAATATTTTGCTGAAGTATACGACCAATAAGTTTACAAATACAACCTTGCTGGTACCACGTGCATTTATCTTACATTTTAAAACCAATGAACAAGTAGCTGCACGTTTAACTTCACATAAATATTAAAGGGATTGAATATCTTTGTCTCAGATTCTGAAACAAAATCTTGGATTAAGCTCATGCTGCAATCATAATTATAAACCTTTAGGTCAGCTAGGAACCCCATGACTTTTGCAAGCCGCTCGCCTGTCTGATTATCAAGATATTTATAATTGGAAATCGAAACTTCAAAAACTGTTTTCCTAACTGTTTTTATAGCGCAACAGTCTTTCGGGGAAAATGAGTATGGTAAAACCTTTTTGAGGCACTTTATGATCATTTTGAAGCGCAATTTCTTTAGGGCTTCTATATTACACCATATCACAGACACTGATAACAGGTATAGGCAATATATCTCAGATTTAACAATGTTAAATGATGCCTTTAAAACAATATTTATTCACGTTTTTATCACTGGTCAGCACCATATATACTTGGAAACGATGCACGAAACCTGAGCAGTAAACTATCTCCGTACCTCAAAAGTCATTTAACCCGTGTGTCTTGAGAATTCAAGAAGGGCCAGAATCCCAGGCATTGCGATTTAGCTGAACCTAATCTTTTCGATCTTGACTCTATTAACATCCCTGCTTGTTCATTCAACGATTCGATGCCCCTGCGAGCAAGAAAACGGATATGAAACTAAAGAAAAGGATGACTTTCGAGATAGATTGGAAAGAAAGACCTTTTCCTCGTCTAAATTACGAATGCGATTCACGGCAAAGGTCTCAACTTACGGGTGTCTCTGTACTTTATCACTCGTCGAAACTTAAGTCTCTATAAACGCCCCCTTTTTTCAATGATTCTTCAAATATTGTGCCGACGTTCCCATAGGAATACATGGGGCCTTGTGAACAAACGCGAAGGGCGAGAGAAGGGAATGATCTAGAGAAAAGACGGGATGAGTAAAAGAGAGAGAGAGAGAGAGAGAGAGAGAGAGAGAGAGAGAGAAAAAAAGGCGGGAATACATTTTATTTCATTCGGTTTATGGCGATCGTCTGCATTTGTTCGCATCTGAATGGCATCGTGTTGCGCGGCCCGTAAAACAAATCGGGGAAGGTTTTCTCTTACTTACGTAAAGTACGCTGAGTAAACGAAACTATTCGAAATTTCATTCGGTTTTATGTGTTCACAGTTCTCGATTTCACTCACACTGCGATATTTTTTTGCGTGATTGCTGGGAATTTTGAAGAAGGTGGAAACTGGGAACAGAGGCAAACAAATATCAATAACCACCCATTGTTGCTTGAATCGAACGAACATGTAGCAATTTGTTTGATTTAAGGCACTTCTCACGTTTTCATGAGACTTTATGAGAATTCATGATAACTTATTGATCATAATTATATATAAGATATAATAATTGGAACTTGAAATGATGAGTTTCAATGAAAATATTATAGGTAGATATGATAGAAACAAGAAAAATTACTTTTTTGTTGTTGCTGGGGTATTCATTTGATTTGTTATTTATTTCAAATATGATAAAAAGCAGATTTTTAAATCACCAAATGCCATTATGCTTTTAATATATGTTGTGTATGCATATTTTCATAATAAAACAAATACCTTATAAATAGAAATGCCTTTATTTCATAAACTGTACACATTTACACAAGAAATATGCGACAAGCTTAATATCAAATGTCACGATGTATGATTTCCTTCTTTCAACGCAATTCTAACTCTGTTATCTGGTTATGAGCATCATGCTGGGGTTCTGACAACTACCAATATCACATTCAACAATGTTTGTACAAGTAACATTATGGTAGCGGAAAAAGTCATGTCTTATGCGCTTTTCCAATAATACGATCGATAAAATATTCATTCATCATTCTGTGCAATAAAACAAGCATATATGGCGTATGGGAGATCGAGAAACGGAGTGATCATGTTACATCGCCAAAACGTAGAGCAGAATCTTGTTTCCCAAGTGGTGCATTTAGTAATTGATGAAAATGAGGGTTGAATAATCCCAAGACAGTGGGTAGATTGGAGGGGAGACGGGGGGGGGGGGGGTGTAGTCTGCCGTTCCCCTCGTACCGAATACCATGCAACTACAAGTTGTATTGATTTGTTTTTGTACGGCCCTTCGAAACGAGAAGTGGTGAGGGGAGTTGGGTCACCTTGTTATAAAACACGACGCATTTAAGATTTTTTTCCCCCTTCATATTATTGATTGTATTGATTTCTTTCCAATGTTCCAATTAATCTTTTATAATGTTCCATTAAAAAATGTTTTCTTTCAATTTCAATTTAGGATTACAAGCGTTGCTTCGTGCTACATGGATTTAGTGCATTACCCTATGGACGAACAGAACTGTTCCCTCGAAATTGAAAGTTGTAAGTGAACGCACTTTTCTCATATCCAAGTTCGTTAGACCCTAGACACGCTAGATTAACTTGATAGTTACTTTCGTCTGAGTTTCCCCAGACTTGTTTAGCCATTTATACAACATGACCCAAAAGGAACGGTCATGGTAAAACGACAATTCTCGAATTCTCGTCATCCTTTAAAAATTATAAATAAACTACTATGGTAAAGGAAAGAAAATATTTAGGAAAGACTCGGCGATAACATTTAATTTCTTGCCATCATCGACGCAGTTCTTTTCCTTTAACATTTTTAATGTTCGCTTTGTTTTCGAAAAGTCCCTTCAATACTCTTTCTTTTGATGTGATATCTAGCGAGGCATCCTTCTCAATCATAAAAGGTCTCAGCGAAAGCTTTCAAATGTCAAACAAAAACTGTCATCAAGGAAATATAGGTTCTATTTAGATTTCGCCATTTGGAAACTGATTTTGTGTAATTAGTGAATTGCATTGTTCCGACCAACCACCTCAAAGCTAACGGGTGATGAACGGTGCTGTATGGGAAGCTCTCTATAGGTCGTCGAGACATACCGCACATAGTACTCGAGCTTCCAAGCATTCCAAATCAAATACAGCTACCATGTTGTCAACAAGTCTGCTCCTGCCAAAACATAGCAGAAATTTATTGAATGGGAATGTTCACACTACACGGATTTAACACCTGACTCCCTAACATCATCCGCTCAAGGCTCGATAACCACCATGTAGAGGTGTTGTGGTCTATAGTGGAAACGTCTCCAGACTGTGGATAAGATGATTCGCGGTTCGAGTCCCGCCCGCGTTACTGATGTCCCTTGGCAAAGGCATTGATCTACATTTGCCACTCTCCACCAAGGTGTTAAGTTGGTATCTGAGCATCGGTTTTTGATAGCCCTAGAATTTGTCTGATTCATCGGTTCGACATTAGAACATGATGCAAGCATAATGCTGCAGACAAAGATACGAAAAATCTATGTATAACGCACTAACATTAATAAGTTGCCTATTTCTTACGGAGCTCCCTCCTACCCCTTTACTCTTGTAGTTTGTCCCTACTATAAATTACAAATCCATGGGACTATGAAGATTTTTCTTTTATGCTACAACGGTTGCAGCGCTAATGGTGTTTGGTGCCGTACCACATTCGGATACTCAACCTTACCTTGAAGAAATTCGACACATATGACATTCTGGATTGTCATGGACGCCTACATAATAGTAATCCGTACTACTTATATTTCGGAAGTCATCGCTCATCGATTCACGACACCTTCATTGCTAACCTCATTCATTATGGTGATGAGCTGCAAGTAAGGCATCTAATAATGCTCGAAAAGGTGTCAGTGAATAAATTGGGGATGTAATCCAATAATGGGAGTCAATTACAGAAGGAGTTATATTGACACCCTTTCCTTTCATTAATCATAAGGAGTTTCAAAGATTGGTTGTGAAGGTCTCTAAGATCTGCCTCAGGCAGTCATGGCTTATTGACTCGTCAAGCAAACGAATTGCTGGGACGATTAACCCAGATATCTATCCCCGCACCACTATACTTCCATGACAAATAATCATTACACCAGATAGTTTAAACCATGGGTTAATCGCTATTACCCGCGATTACGGGTTTGCGAATTGCACATGGGTACTTGTCAGTGGGCTAAGTTATCCGGGTGTCCGGATATAGTCGTGCAGGAGGCGGTTACCCGATAATTAGCTTTGCATAGCCAAAGACGGGCCTCGGACGACTACCCCCGAGACAACTACCAGGAACAACTACCCCCAGACAAATACTCCCCTGGACAGCTACTCCCGAGGAAAGTTGTCCGGAGGATTGTTGTCCTAGAGGATAGTTGTCTGGGGATAGTTGTCCGGGACAGTTGTCCGGGGGTAGTTATCCTAGGGGAAGTTGTCCTAAGGGTAGTTGTACTAGGGGGTAGTTGTCTGGGGGGAGTTGTCCGTGGGTAGTTGACCGGGGGTAGTTGTCCTGGGGGTAGTCGTCCAGGGGTAGTTGTCCTAGGGGTAGTCGCCCTAGAGGGTGGTTGCCCTAGGGGGTAGTTGACTGGGGTGGTTATCCGGGGTTGGATGTCCAGGGGGTAGGTGTCCTAGAACCGTAGATAAGATCTAGGTAAGATGTGAACATGTTGAGGAGATCAGTTGGCCTTTGCAAGGTCTGCCTGTCAGATCAAAGACCATATCAGCCAACGTTCGAATCAAGGCTAGACTGGATTCATTCTTTGTTAAAGCCCCACTGAACTACTGAGAGCTACTTGCGCCATCTATATAGCAAACAATGCCAAATCGGTGACCATTGGTCCCCCATGGTCCCCTTTTTACAATGTTTATTGAGAGCTAATTTCATGAGATAACCAGCCGTCAGTTACCATGCAGGGAGATCTAATTCCTCCTGACCTATCCAGTGGAGATAGGCTTTAATGCGTCTCTCCCCTGATCCATTGACGCATGATATGCCACAGTGGAAAATAATCCGTTTCTCGGATAGGACATTGAATAACGGTTCCATGTGAAGTGGAGTCTCCATCGATGCACGTTAAGAACTGACTGTACTTTTGCCTTGTAAAGAGAGTAGGGGAAACCCCTAGTTTCACCTGCACGTTCCCATCGATAATACTTGGAGGATAGTACCGGTTTCATAGTGATGTCTTGCTTCATGATCACCTATTCCCTCCAGAAACAGCTGGCGCTGAAAAATCATTAATTATACTTTAGAAATAAGATGATTGTTCACAATTTTAAGATCAATCTACGAGAGTTAAACTATAAAAAGTGAGATATTTAATCTGCTAAATACGGGACACTGCGATTATTGATCACTCTACCTATAACATTATTAATGATCAGTAGGGCTTATGGATCCCCTCCCCCTAGCTCCCCTCCCCCGAATATATATTTGTTTTCTTTCTTTTACGCATCAATTAATATGTCATATTTTGTTTTGTTGCTTTTATGTTTATGGTTCGTCTCCGGCTTTTTCTAGAGCTTTGGGTCTAAATATAAATCCCAGGTATGGCGTAGTTCTGTCGTTATGTCTTGGCCTTAATTTCTTGTTTTAAAGTGCATGCTCAAGTCAGATGTCCACAATATACACGATATTCACACTTTGTACACGCACTAGTGAAAGCGACATGACCATGTTGACGGTACTTTCAAACACTGAATTTTTGTTTAATGTTTTCATATTCTCATTCGTCTACGTGAGCGATGCAAGGGTTGAATGTTGATGTACATTTAATTGCCAATCACAGCGTTAAGCGAAATGAAAATCCAAAGCAAAAATGCAATGTTATTGGAGGGATTTCAACCAGTATCAGCATCGAGCTCAGAGTCACGGATACTTTCGAAATTGATCAGCTCGCTATACCGCCACTGCTTGTTCCTTTCCTCTTTGGCTCGGGTCAAATTCACTTTCAGCACCTTGCCTCCCACTCTGCAAATTTGCCCAAGCGCAGGCAGGGGCTTGCGAGCTATAGCAACCAAAATATCATTAGTATTACGCGCCGTCCAAATGAAAACACGGCGAAGTTTACAGTGCTTCAGACCAGCAATGGCGGGCGAAGACAGACTCGGGGGTAGCAATATAGTCTGGTCTAAGCCTCAAGTGGACTTGGTGCTTTGCGTACGTGAACAAGGGACTAATCAAGCCTTCTGCGATCACGACTCTGTCGCCAGAATAGAGTATGATCCGTGTTGGCTCGGTAAACATGGCGTGGACTCGAGGTATTAGCCATCGAGTGTATTGCTACTAGCTCGGCTTGCAAGTTTTCGGACCCACAATTGCCAGTCATGTTTGTTCTCATGTTTGTACTCATATTCTGTCTTTGCATCTCCCCGTCTCTCTTTCTCCCTCTATTTCTCTCTCTCTCTTTCTCTCGCTCTGCTTCCTCACCCATTTTAAGAACTTGCAGCATGCAATAATCAAGCCTGAAGCGATGGTTCATAAATAAATTATGTCAAATTTCCGATTCACTGTAACAAGCTGTTTGCTTGATTTATGATAAACAATGACTTCTATAAATATAGTGATTGTTTTGAACTTATTAACTGTTACTGTTTGAAGGACTTACCTATGCCTAATTGAATACAACGATTGTTTTAAACTACGTCACGACTATTACATTATATTGTTTATAGCAGGTATCATTTTAAAACGACGTTTGCAACTGCGGGTGCCACAAATGAATTTTAACATTGAATCCAATAACTAGACTTAATAAAATATCAACAATATCGCAAATACGTTCAAAAAAACCAGTTCAAAGACAGGTTCAAGACCCCTATATATTTATATATATCACATTTAGCATGACCATATTACGTATATATTCGAAGTTTTTGTTCTGTTGCTATGGGGATTTTCCCGAATTTCATTCTCATTCTCTTGATCGATATTTTTCCTTCTCCAGATGGTTACACAACAGCAGATGTCAACTTTGTATGGCAGTATGGAGACGATTCATTAGAGGGCGTAAACAATATCGAAATGGCTCAGTTCACATTAAGCGACTACAAACTCATAGTCAAAATGCAGAATTTTTCAACAGGTAAGTCACCCCAAAATCGCCTTTCAGAAATTGATTATAGGTAGTCAGAACCAATAACGACCCTCCACTACCACCAACAATAGCGATTTGTAACTATTGTTTTCGCACAGTCAACAGGGGTGCATAGGACAAATGCATTTAAGGCAATGTTACTATAACATTCACATGAAGCGATTATAAACTCAGAGTCAAAGTTCAGAATTTTTCTCCCCCGAGGAAAAATAATTGTCTTTCGGAACTGTTTGATATGTCGTCTGAACCAGTAATGACTCTCCGTTATCATCAGAACTGAATAGCAATTTTCCCCTATTGTCTTAACACAGTCAACAGGGGTGATAGCCGTAAGGGGCAACCATGTAAAGGTCATCGAAGAAATGCAATTAAGGTAATATTACTAAATCTCGCCTTGTCAATTGATATATGCCTATGGCCACATTGAACTAGTGTGAATGTTCACCCCGTTGGCACTGAACAAACATTAGCAATAAATCGCTATTTTGGGGCAAAAGGAACAGTCGATATTGGTACCGACAAAACTCTCAATGTTGATGTTGTAAGAAAGAATGATGTTTTATTGTCCCAGTATTGTCAGCGAATCTCAATTTTATTAGGTTTGTTTCATGTACATTTTAGATCCCTGCCTTGATATTCTTTGGTAAGCCTGTACATTTATCAAGCCACTATTTATGGAACCCATACACATCATGAATGCACATCCGCATTTGTAAGGTACCATTCTTTTTGTCAAGTGACAAGTTTCGAGAGATGATTTATTTGCTTCTCTTCCTTCGTTGATGGAAGAGGAGGTTGTGGAAAGAAGGTATTTCACTATTTTAAATTATTGGATACAGCGATATGCATGCCACCGCTGCGGATTCCAGGAAATTGGGACTGAAGAGCTTTAAACAAATTTTGAATTGAAGCTTCTCAAATCAAATATTGATATCTCTTCCAAGTATACATGAAAGATTACATTCTAGGATCACATCTCTGTTACAGGTTTTTTGTAATATTGGGCTAGCATCTGCATGTAACAACCCTGTAAGAACAAGCGAAGTAGATGATACTGTGCATGCACAGACTCTGTTATGATCTTTAAAGCGGGACTGCACTACGTTTAGCTACTTGCGCCCTCTATATGGCAAACCATGCCTAAGCGGTACCCGTTGATCCCCATGGTCCCCTTCTTATGTTAATTGAGAGCTGATTTGATGAGATAACCACCTGCCAGTTACCGCGAAGGGAGGTCGAATCCCCCTGGCCAAACTAATGCAGATGGGCTTTAAACGAACACTTGGTTCCTGCCTACCATTTTCGGTTTACTTGGTCGTGATATTATTATGTAGATGCGTCGTGGTCTAGTGGATACGTCCCCGGACTGTGGATCACATGGTTCATGGTTCGAGTCCCGCTCCGGATGGCAATAAATAAATCTACCTTTACCACTCTCCACCCAGGTGAAGTAAATGGGTATCCGGTAGGAAGGAATTCCTTGACTGAATTTACACCTTATTATGGCGGCTCGGCAACAGCAGGAATAAAAATATGATACTTTGTATTCAGCGCAGTCGAGTTTATATAGAAGCTGCTTTATATAAATGTACCTATTATTATAAGTATATACTAGACTACATAGCTTTAATGGAAATAGTCAACATCACAGCATCATACACCCTATTACGTGATTTATGAGGATTGTGTGCTTCGAAAGCTACGTCCGGGCCACTAGCAGATTCATTGGATTGGGGCACAACCATTCCCGTTCCCCCTCACTACCTTATGTATACAACCCCGATATGATATGCCCCTTTTTTTGTTTTCGACATGGACATTGTCAGAAATTGTCTGCATTGAACCCCCTCCTCTCACTGTTCAAAATTCTGACTCCGCCCCTGATCGGGGGCGCTGAGCGCCGACTAACCCCTAAGCCGCTGCCACAGGCTTCAAGACCCAATCGATACGACTTGTGAACGATTATTTACCTGCCATGTCATACTTCAATTCCGTTAAGTGGTGGGCCGGGACAGCACCCAACGAACCTGTTCTGGTTCGTCACTCTCCCCCTCTCTCCTTCAATCACGTCATTGTGACGTCATTCCCTGTGACACGAGGGATGTCAGGGGAATTATGGGTCATCATGACAAGACATGAGAGGACAAGACATGCAAAGTCGGGATGAGAAGATGGGGGAAATATGGAGACTCTGGGAAGATTTGGGGAGAGTAGTCGCATAAGCCTTGAGGTATTGGGACAGAAAGCGCTCCCTCGTTAACAAAATAACCACTGAATCTTGACACTAGTATATAAAGTGCATTACAAGCGGTTGGTTTTATCAACATGAGACGAATTGGGAGAGATTGATGGGAAGCAGAATCGTAATGCAATATGAGATATACCAAGAGCTGTTAACATATTTTAAAGACCATGCACAATTTAAATTCAATTTCAATTTCAATTTATTTATTTATGTTTCCAATAAAACATTACAAATCAATTATAAACACTTACAGCAAATGTAGAAATGCATATTGATAACAGAGGGGTAAACTAAAAAGTAATGCTTGTACAAGTGTAAACACCTCAAATGATACTTAGGAATACTTGCTAGAGAGTCGCATCAATCGTAAAATACATTTTGCTTCTTTTGGATGCAGGCAAATTCGTTTTGATCTTCTACTTGTATGTATATTACGTGAAAAAAGAACGTTATTGATATTACATTTAACAAAGAAAAAAAGAACCTCGAAGCGATCTTTTTTGTAGGGTATTATGTCATGTCAAAACTTTGAAAGATATGAAAAAGTTAAAGTGTAAACGACATTTGACTAGCGTATTAATCCAACATGACATTGCAGTAAAAGGGTACAAAGTAATGGTAGATATCTTTATATATTTATTTCAGGGGGCGAGCAGACGTTCTTACGTATTTTGTTAAAACATTACCACGATTTCTTTATTACGAAGAAAACTTTGTTTAATCTATTGTCAAAAGGCATGTTTAAGGTGCTGGAATCACAAACATGGGGAAATATATTTACAGATTACAATTCGTTTATTGTTCGCTATTTATAGTAACATTAATAGAAGTGAATACAAACCACTTAAATAATTCACTGTCATATCTAAATTTTATGTTAAAGAGGCAAACTCGTCGTCTCACATGACCGAAACAGGGGAGCACAGTGAGTCAGACAGAAGCCCACATACAAGAAGAAGTGAGTTTCTTTAACGTTTGATTGTATTAATCTAAAATGTGAGACCTTTTTTAAGAAGAAAAAAATAAAAATTAAAAAATATGTTTCCCATTTAAGTGAAAGGAGGCAGGATAGACACAAAATTAACTGCTTTATATCTATATAAAGTCCACGTCACAAACATGAAATCGGATTAATTTTCAGTTTCTATTGAACATCAATTCTTAAAGAATGTTCTATAAAGATAACCATATGCCTCTAACTAGAAGTAAACAAATAGTGGGTTTCTCTCTTTTTGTTTCCTTTCTTATGAAGGAGATTGTCACTAAACATATCAAAGGAAAGTATAACTCTTATAGAGAACTTAATAGATGTAACTTGAGATAGCTTTACTGCTTTTAGACCAAACCTGTTTCCTTATTGTGTAATCCCATATGGCCATATCCTTGTGCAGTGCTTTTGCTTTAATTTTGGTCTTAAACTGCAAGAATGAGTAAGTTTATAGTCATATGATGAAACCCCACCCTTAAATTATATAACAAAATTATTTGTTCAAAAATGTGTTATCTTTCATTATATAATGTTTACTTGAGTACCGTGCCTAAATTTATAGAATGCTTTCTAAACACGACATTTGAGGATAAACAAATATGAAATAAAATCATCAATGTGTTCATAAACATGAACAGGATGTATAAATTAAAAAATATCATACAAACGCGCTTACATGCACAAATCCTGTAAATCACATTAATGATGCCATTCAATTTTAAAACACCCCCTTGAATAAAATCCTGCGTACACCACTGTCACCACCATCGTCTGTCCCACCCCCTTAGCCTTACACCCAACGCCTAACCATCAACCCCTACACCTATAAAATCAAAAAAACAATTCCTGCATATGATATTCATTCAGAATGTTATGGAAGTAAGATATTGCACGGTATTATTATTAACGATAAGGAAAAAGCGGTCATTAGAAAAAAGGCAAAAGTTCAGGTCTTGCCGAGACTCGAACTCGGATTACAGGATTCAGAGTCCTGGGTGCTAACCATTACACTACAAAACCTGTCATGCTGATACGAGCGTTCACAGTGTTCATATCATTGATGGATTGATTGCTTGCTTGCTTGCTTGATTGATTGATTAATTAATTAATTGGAAATAAGTTCTCGACCTTTCGTGGGTTATCCTGTTCAAGTTGACTTAAATTTGATCTGTTATTCTCCCGCCCCCTCCCCCCGCCAATCAGTGTTATTGAGGGTACGGATATGCGTGTTCCCAGCGAACCCCCCCCCCTTTTTTTCAGCAAAAGTCCGGTTAGTAAAGTCAATACGGGTAGACTTGTTTCTTTTGTTACGAGCCGGAGAGTTTGGGAACACGCATGGTATCCCTCCGTTCACGAAGTGGCCGGGGGGGGGGGGGTGTTATTCTTTGGTGTATGTTGGAAGCTTGACGAATATAAATCAATCAATCAATCAATCAGATGACCAGGGCGGGGCAACATAGACTTAGCAATAAATCGTTTGATTAAATTTTGCGATTGAGTGCATTGATCACTATGTGCAGGAAAGCATAATGACTTCATCTATGCTGATGTATATATATATCTGATAGAAAAAAAAATGATAAAAGGGAAATGTAGAAAGGTCACAACAAAGTAAGCTTAGGCCATTGACCTGGTCAATCCCTAATACCTTAAAGACTGCTAATCCTCTAAACCCATCTCAAACCCCTCTTGACCACCTCTTAGCTAAATTTGAGGGCGTCACTCACAGTGCTAGCCTTCAAGGTGTGTGTCTTG